AAACGTCTTTGCTTACTCGTGGCGGGGGTGGTTCTTGGAGCTATCTTTTCTGAGAGTGGCTGGAAAAAAAGTGTACTATAAACTTGTTTTCCCCCCAGTGACTCATAAAAGACATGGCTCCAAGAACCTCGCCTGCCACGAGTAGGAAAAGCCGTTTTGAAAGGAAAGCAGAGTTGCCCGCTCCACCCAGATCGCAGCGCGAGGTGCCGTCCCCATCAAAATGTTTATTAAAAAAATGCTTCAAAGCGTTGGTCTAATAAAAGATATCGCTCGAAGAACCTCGTCTGCCCAGGTCCTTAGACCAACCAACACGGCTACAACCAAAGACCCAGTTTTCCTGCTCATGTTGGCTGTAGCCGTGCTGGGCTACGACACAGGGTTGTCCGCCTTCCAGGCTGCCCTGGGATCTCCAGGAATTAGAGAGATCTCCAGGAGCCGCGGAGAGTCACCCGGCAATGAATGATAAGGCATTCATTAAAATAAATATTAAACAGTGAATCCGATGTATACAGTACTCCTGTGGATTTTTAAAATGTGCATTTTCCTTCTTGACGTGAGGTTGGCGCACTGTAATTCATGTCACTATGTCATATGATGAAACCTCCCAGAATAGATTTAAACAGAGCTGGCAATACTAAGGCAGAATGCCAAAAACACCCATGACTTCAACTTGGAAGATGTTGGTGTGCCAGGGGCAGATGGCAGGGGAGCCACGAGGGACCCGATCCTTGTTGTGGCTGTGTACCCTGGCCCCTTCCCACCATCCACCCAGAGGCATGTGTGCCAAGCAAAATCCCTTCGAGTGCACATTTAGTTTAGTACTTCCTTAATGAAGCACTAACTGAGTGTGCAGTAGGTAGAGTTATGGCGCAGTACTGCTGGCTCATGGTTATTTTGTGATACTGTGCTTAATAACACTGCATAGTAGGCTATTAGCATGGTTTTTAACCGGCATGCTACTGCACAGTGTTATTAGGCTAATGCGCAGTAAGCATCTCATGTAGATGTGCCCCCTGATTCCCGCTGATCTCTCTCCACTCCACAGGTGTTAACCACCCTCTCTTTAAGGGGCTTGATATTCCACTAGTCCAACTCTCCTTTCTCCTGCAGTGTTGCTGTTAGTCATCCCTGGTAATGTTTGTCTTCTATTTCACAGTTTCACAGACTGTTTTAACTCTAGCTTAACTCAGGTGTGGTTATATTAAGTCAGTTGTGGAAATGACTGACAGTGAAGCAGTGGATGCACTGTCAAGATACTCAGGCTGAATGAGAGGCAGCAGACCAGGTTCTTTGGGTGAATGTGATATTTTTTATTAGACCAACAAAGACATCACATTTACCCAAAGAACCTTAGATTGCCATGGCTACAACC